TTTCCATTTGATTCTCCGTTATAGTGGGATAATATACCCTAAACCCTAAACCCTATAGGGTTTCCCCAATAGAGTAAGTAACTTAATTTAAGTTCCTTAACAGCAACCCAGGAGTTGCGAGCTTGGGTTGCCGTTGGACTTCTTAAGCAACTTGGCTTAAGCAACCTCAGTTTTTAGGGTTTAGGGTTTAGGGTTTAGGGTTTAGGGGAAAGTTGTTAGGTTTTTTCAGAGGGATAATGGAAAAGAAAATGGAAACTATAGGGATTATATACGGGTTTTATGGGGATTATAGGGTGTATATTGGGGTAATATGGGGATAATGGAAAAGAAAATGGAAACTACTCTAATATATTGGGGGTAATATAGGGATAATGGAAGAGAAGATGGAAACTACTACAGCATAATAGGGTACATTTGGGGTTATCGTAGGGAACAAGGGAATAAACATTCTGTCCAGGCGCCACAGAAGATGAGCCATCACTGCCTTCTTCGCTGCCTCCTCTGCCTCGCCAAGTGCGGAACGTGCTGGCGCAGGCAGCGGCCGAAGAACCATAGATATATACTATAGTAGTTTCCATTTTCTTTTCCATTCTCCCAATATAACTCCAATATACTATAATAGTTTGATCTTTTCCATTATCCCAATATAGAGCATTGCAATCTTGGAAGCAGCTGGGGTCGTAGGATCATGACTGCCAACTTGCATCGGGACTGCTATGCTTTGAGGTTACAATCTTGGCGAGTAGCTCAGTGAATGCGGGGAGTGCGTGCAAGATAAGGTTTGCACCCGAGTTAACGGAGCTTGTCTCTGACAGATAGATGCAGGATATGTGATGGGCAAACGCTGTTGAAACTGCTTTGCCTTACCTTGAACCTGAGGTTCAGACCTTGGACGTGCTTGGTCCTGACCCAAGGGTCGTGGTAGCTGGGAGCATGGGCCATGGACCCAGGGCTTGTGGGGCTTGCTCAGTTTTTGTAAGCTTCTCGGGATCTTTCGGGGTTGCGGCGCCAGCTTAGTTTCACAGAAGATGGCAAAACATGACAGTAGCGTTGTACAGCAACAGATACTAGACGGCCAAGCTTGTTGCAAAGAGGATGGGAGCACTGAGGTCTGGGTGCTGATGTTGGAGGGCCAGGTGCTCAGGAGTCGAATGGCGATGTAAGGCCAGCCGGTGAAGTTGAACTACTCCCAAGGTCAGACCTGGACCTGGTGCTCTGCTGCGATGTGGAGGTTGGCCCCTAGCTGGTAGGCTGAAGTAACAACAACTGAGAAATTTGCCAGCATGCCGTCATGCGATCCTTGTGTGATGCAGCATGCCGGCTTTAGAAATCATAGCATGGCGGGGAGTTTATTGCTAGGCGCTGCATTTGCATTTAATGAAGTTCCCGTTCACATGTCGGGAGGAAAGCCGCTTGAGCAGGTGAACCCGAAAACAGCTCTGGCTGCTGTTACGGAAGCTTTGGTGAAGGCCTTCTTACATCATGACCGGAGTTTCCATGACAGTGTGAGAGGCATGCTGAATTCTGACAAGTGATCAGAGATCCACTGCCTGATAGATTTCATTTGCTTTTTTTTATGGCAGGGGTTGGAATTCTTAAGATTGGCACGCAAAACTGCAAGCGCAACAAGCTATTTCAAGACCCACGGCATAGGGTTTAGTCCAAAAGTGAAAAGTCGACTGCGCGGCCTCATGGATAGTTTCGCAGATTAGTGCTTCTATGTGAGAAAGCCGACAGAGAGGGTCTCTGTGCCTCTACCCAAACTCTAGACTCTAGACTCTACTTGGAGTTTCATGGGACTTGGTAAAAACTTGTAACTGGTGGGGTTATAACTTATAACGTATAATCCGATTTTCATTTGGGTAACCCCATAACACCGTTTAGACCCTGCAAGTTTGCACCCGCTTCACATCTGGTGTAGATACGCGAAATGCTGAGCGGAGCAGCCTCCTTACTCGTCCTCCTTACTCGTGCTTTGAGCTATAGTCTAAACTACTTAAAGGCGGGCTGTTTTGCGCAATATATTACACCCCTTAAGGTTTAGCATTTAAGGTTTAGGGTCTAGGGTTTAAAAAGGGGGAATATATAGGGGATTATATAGTGGAGTATTATAAGTGTTATTAAGGGGGGGGGTTACTAGGAGCTTAGATAACGGCTCAATTGGCTGAGCAGGCGGGTGAAGCCGTGGACATCCTGCTATTGGAGCAGGCACCCAGTCTCTTTCAAAGGATGAGCGTCTAGATCCGGGGCTTTTTGATTATGTAGGGGTTATATAGGGCATGACTTAGAGCATCCCACATCCGCACCCCTCCCCAAAAGTGCGCTCCAACTTGGCTGCGTCTCAAAATGGGAACTCTTTCTGGCCTTGCATGCATTAAACTCCCCATTTCAAGGGCTTAAACAGAGATGGTCGTGAAGTTGGGTTTGGAATCCGTCAGCAACAAGCTGTGATGTGGCATGATAGGGCCGCCACAGCTATTAATGGGCATGCAAAGTCTGGTGAAGCCTGATGGTTGCGGTTTTTGGCCGGTCTTCGCGAAAGCACTAAGTTATTAAAAAGGAGCCAATAGAATATAAACACAAAATATTACAATCCAAGTTGTCCAGAACGGCTCTTGATTTTCAAAATCCTATCTAAATTTAAGTTACCGGCAATCCCCTGGAGTTTGACACAAAAAGCTCTATGCAATAGAAACCATCGCCGTATATCTTCAGGGTGCGAGTTGTACGATTAGTTTGAGAAGAGCCCTGTGCCTTGGGCAAGCAGGTTGTGGTTCCACTGCTTTCCTTCCGGCTGGGAGGCAGTTGGAAAGCTGCTCTTGCCATCATATGCAATGCAAAACCGTCCTCATCGTCATCACGAATCGTGAAGGGTTTTGAGTGGAGACATTTGAGAGTATTCCTTGGACTACCGTCGGCTTTGCATCAGGGCCATGGGCCTTGACAGGGGCTGGTGCAATCAGATTTGGATTTATTTCCCCTTGTTGGTCTATGTTAGACTGCCTTGTGTCGATCCCTTCTTACGTGAACCTTTCTGCTGCCTTAGTTAGCCTTCGTTCAGGCTATGAACGATCTGAGGAGGTAGAAGGTACAACGCAGCCACTTCAGACCGTGCAATGATGACGTGTTTCTTGGGAAGGTCTTGGGACAAGCATACGCGTGGACACACTATGACTAACCGGCCGTCGGAAGTCAGTCCCAGTAGAAACTTGCTTGTGCAGGTTGTGATCAATGACGTGTTTCTCAGAGAGACCTCCATAAAATCCCGCAGATGGTGTTTTTGAGCCTTGAGAGCATCTTGTTCAAAGCATGTAGATGTAGTTCCTGAGTTGCCAGGAGTGTGAGGAGGGTATTCTGAAACATGTGGGGTTGCTATAGTAGGCCTATGAGGTCTGCAACTTCCGGGCATGACTCCTTGATATTGTAGCCCACCTTTCAGGCCTTAGCGTTGACCTCACGCTGCGATTGGCCTCAGAGCTTGCTGTACAGCCTCTAGAACTTGATGAACATGGGTTGCTGTTGAGGAAATTAATCCAGGTTACCATAATATAGATGCACAGTAAGTAATAGTGTTTCCCGATCATGGTAAGTTAATGTAAGTTCCTCAACAACAGCCCACATGATGCTACCTGTATGGCTTGTCTTTGGCGAATGTTGTCCGCAAGCTTTTCATCATTTCTATTTTCTTCTACTCTTGCTACTACGGCTAGTACTATTTACTCTTACTATTACGATTACTAGTTCTCTCTATTACTATTACTGTTGCCTCTATTACTCTTGTACTTCCTCATTGCCATCATGTGACACGATCGTCTTTGCAAAGCCACCCACCCCCAAATCCTGACGGCATTTGCAACTCCTGTCCAAGAGGTAGCACGTTGGATACTAACAATCCTGCATGACCCTAAGTACTTGTACCTGCGAAGTATGATTATTTGGTATACTAAGGCCATGCAGCATTGTCAGTATCAACAGTATGCTGGGCAGAGTGCGCCAAGGGGTTACATAAAGACTACATTGTCGCATACCATTTAGGGTTCAAAGTTCATTCTGTGAAAGTGGCCTGGATGGATGACCTCGCGTTTTGCAAGGAACCAGATGTCCTCCATCCGTGACATCCTCCTGTTCCGCTATGCTTTGCCAAGAACTCAGCTCCCCTTTTTATGGAAAGGCTACTGTATCTGATGTTCTGGAGGGAAAGAAGGAACTTAACTAGGGATTACGTAGGGTTTAGGGATGTTACTACGCCAACAAAGTGGTCCACAAAAATGGATAATCACATACATGGAAGATCAAATGGACATGACATGGACACTAGGAGTATCTAGAGGCTACATGGGTCTCTATAGAATCACCACAATCAGCCCCCATACTCCATTTTTGTGAAGTACTGGAGCGGAGGTTGAACGTCCAGGCTGACTCAGACTCAGAAATCCTGCTGTGCCGTAAATGCAATGAAGGCCAACAAACACTCATATTATAGTGCACTCACATTTAGCGTGGGTCAAGTCTGCCATGTTCTTTCAGCTAAGCCCTCAACCCTAAACCTTTAACCCTGAGCCCTTAACCCAGTTGTAAGGGGTGCGGAAATCAGACTTTTCGCTGGGTGGCACCCATTTGTCTAGGAAGTTCTCACAATTCCTGGCTTGGGAGCTGAGATTGGCCGATTCTACTTTTGCTTGCACAGGATGGGGGGTTTAGGGTTTAGGGTTTGGGGTTTAGGGTTTAGGGCTTAGGGTTATTTATCTAATCCTATGGTATTATCCTCCCGGTTGAAGCGATGCAATGGTTTTGTGTATGCTTACCTTTCCCATTGGGAATTGGGGCTTGCTGGTATTTGTTGCCAAGGAGTCCATGGTGTTTCCATCCATGGGCAATTGCAACCAGTATAAATTGGACTTGTATTTTTGCGCGGAGCTCCCAACAGGAATCTCTAATAGTCGGAAGCTTCCTCCTCCTAAAGTTCCCTCTAGTACTAGAATTCATACAAGGATTATATAGTGGTTATATAGGGGTTATATTGGAATAATGGAAGAGAAAATGGAAACTATCATATTATAGGATTATATAAGGGTTATATGAGAATAATGGAAAAGAAAATGGAAATTTGTACTCCTAGGCGAACAGCTGGGCCGGAGCTCTCCTCCATGTTGCGGCTTGTGAAGTTCAAGCCCGAGGATGCCAAGGGCAGTTGTCATCCTTGAGTAATGTAGACTCTTGATTACTAAAAACCCTCCCCTTAATAGGGATTATACTAGGATCCTAATATTGAGGCCCTTAAAAGGAGGGGGTTTATAAATTAGCGGTCTACAATAGAGTTTAGGGTTCAGATAGAATGTGGGAAGTCTTGTGAGCAGCTTCCACCCCAAACTCGAGTATGCCTGTCGCGTAGCTACAACCTTCGATTTCTTGCCTCACTTTGGAAAAGTCCGAGATTAGCTACCTTAGATTCTTACCTCACCTTGGAAGGATCTGAGTTTAGCTCATCGGGAGAAATGCCTCATGTTTAGGGAGTGTCTTCGGAAGGTAAGGACAAGATTAGGAATTTTCATCGCGAAAAACATACGACAACTCTGCTTGTGCGGTTTGACTTCTGGATGCTGAGGAACATTCAAGCAACCTTAGAACAGGTTGTCTCATGAAATCATCACAGCCAATGCGCCACCTGCGCCGTTAATGCATGAAAATTCGTTCTGTGAATGCCTTTTCAAATGCTGTGCTCCGCATCCTAAGTTGCTCACGTTGGCCCACGGGCCTTCCCGGGAACTTCTGAGGATGTGGCTGAAAGCACGGCGAATCCCAGGTACCAAGCAAGGCGCATGCCTCACGGTTTCGTGCAGGAGTGTGGGTGGCCAGGCAATCTAGCTTGAGGGGGCCTTCAGAATGCTTGTGCAGAAGGTCTTAGCGCACAAGGTCTTTGAGAGAGGTAGACCAGATTGTGCAAGCATGATGTGTGCTCAGGTATGGCTGAAAAACGATTATGTGCCAAGTTTTGCATCAGGTAGTTCACCTCTCATGTCACAATTCCACACATGCCATGGAATGCGTGATTACCTTCAAAGGCGGATTTCCTACGGTTGTTTGGCTGCGCATGGCCATCCGCTTTTACCAGGAGCTGATCTGGCCTGAGCTGTGTTGAGAACCCTTCATTGCATTTGCCCCTCCCAGGGTCCAATATTCACAGTAACTCAGTTTGGAGTGGGCTTCAATAAATACTGCAGGCCCCATGTAGTGGCAACAGGGGCTCCATTGAGACCAGAGCTTCCAAGAAGGTGCATGGTTTGAACTCTTCCCTATCCCCAGAGCAGTTCTTTCTGCCTACTTCGTTCCACCATTGGTCTTAACTGATATTCTCCCCAGACTTGTGTTGGCGATACAACATGTGGGCCGGTTCCGTGAAGCATCCTACCACCACTATCTGCCAAATACTATTTGGATTCTTATGTAAGACGTTCAGGGACCGTCAGCCTTCAACTTTTTTCCTAAGCCTTGACGAAACCTTTATCCTAAGTCCTCAACCCAGAGCGCTAAACTTAACCTCCAGCCCTACACCCCTTCAACCCGGAAGCTATCAGGAGTCCAAGGGCAGCTCCAAAGCGCGGCGCGTGGCCCGGGATTGGCTGCGGCGCTTCATGGCGGCTGCCTCGGCAAATAGAATGGGAACTGGGTTTATATAGTAGTTGAAAGGGATACAGGTTTCCAAAAATTCGGGGTCCCCTTTTTTTGGGTTTTCTATGACAAATTAGCGTTTGCTTGGATTCGTGCGTGCTGTTGGGGCTCCTTTTTGATGGACACCCTATTATCTTCGATTGTATGGTATTCATTGCTCTGCCTTGGAAGGACCCCAGTTGAGCGAAAGCTGAGCTTCTGTCCGCGTGAGCATCTGCTGAGCACGCGTACACCACTGGCTCCCTTTTTCGTTGGTAGGTCGGTGGGTGGCAATGCCCCTCTGGCACAGAAGCCGGCTGAGGTGCTTGTTTTCTGTGGCCCGGGCTTTGTTCTCCGGGCTTCTACAATTAAATCTACACGAGCGGCACAGGGCCCTTTTCTAGACCCTTCAAACATTTGTGTCGCCTACTGAACGTTGAAAGCCCCAGCAGTGGTTTCTGCCTTGTGACAGCACTAACATTCCCGATCCCTGGCCACCAGCAACGAACAGCAAATCCTTGAACGCCTGTCGGCCGAACCCTCAGCGTGACCATGTGAGGAACGACAGCCTTGTCACTAGAAAGTCAGCGAAGCTCCGGGTCGTGTCCCAGGTCTGGGCCTGGCAGGGGCTCCCAACAGGAGGTTCGTCAGAGCCACAGTTGGAGCCGGTGCTGCGGGTAGGTCAACACAGGTTGGGCTGGAGTTCAGAGTTCAGCAGTTGTAAAAACCCTAAGCCCATAATAATAACCATAAAGGCCATTCTTTTATCTACTTTTGGGGTCCACGTAGTAAGTTTGGCCTTCTGCAGCTGTTGCCTCCTGCCTTGGCCATTATCGGGTTTTTGAACGTTTGTGTTAGTTTCGGTTCCAAGGGGGCCGTCTGGCAGGGCAGCATAGGCCCAAACCCCACAGCCACAGGGTTGATGGAAGGGCATATCGGGTTAGAACATATAGAAGGGGAGCCCTTCCTGGACTTCAAACGATCATATGCCAATCTGAGCATGGTTTTTGCCCGGTAACGTATATGATGAAAATGCTGGATTGCGTATTTTCATACAGTACGACAAGACTGGGATAGGGAAACGACGGATGAGTTCAATCTAGTGGCGCAAGTTGTCGAGGCCTTTGGCGCTCTATGGCGAGCAGGACTCAACGCAGGGATGCTCCCTTGTCTCACTGGTGCTTGTGGGGAGTTGGGGAGGCAATAGAGGTACTATCATCATACTGCAGTCCAAAGGTATTTATGGATTGCGTTTCGGAATTTGGCTTCATGAGGTTGCTGTGTGAACTTTCATGTCCTCAAGGTCTTGAACTGGGACTGTGGGGCAAATCTATGGCCCGTTGCTTGTGTAGCATGACTGTTGCCGTCGAACGCAGGCTAACTACATCCTGGAAATTGCGGTAGTTTGGGAATCCTAAGGGTGTAGGATTTCCTCCGTCCACCGTATCTACACCCTAAAGTTTGAAGTTCGGAGGAGTACTACTCGGGCCGCTTAGCGGCCGGGGTGCCCGCAGGAACGCAGCGTCCTAAGTTTCCAAAAATTTCAGCCCAAAAATTCTGAGGTCTTTCTGCGACAAGTTTGTTTGGATTGTCCAATTTGCTGAGAAGCTTTAAGGTAGGCTTTTCCAGGTTCAAGGGCTCTTGGGGCCCTTCTTGGCGGGCGTAGTAGAGAGGCCGTAGGAAGATGTCTTGGTGTTGAGTTTCCAGGCTTCTGCTGTTCGTATGCGAGATGGTGACCTTTCTGGAGAAGTCACCTGCGCCAAGCGCAGTGGGAGAGGACCTGTAGCAGTGCAAGTGGGGCATTGTAGGACAGTGGTTGAATTTGGCTTTTTTTTTGGGTGTGTAGTACAAAGGCAGAGAGCGAACCATTTGATTCAGTCCTTGTGTACTGTTGGCCATGGGCTTGCAGACCCATTTTCTTGGAGGGATGCCCTGTCCTTCTGTCATGGAAGAAGCATGAACATTTTGCCTTAAGCGTGCTGATCGGAGATGTCCAATGCAGCGTTTCTTGTCCGAGCCCATGGAATCCTGCCACTGAAGCTCAACTGCAACTTTGCAGCCGTCGAGGCTCTCAAAGAAAGAGGTATGCATCAATCATCAATCCACTCCCAGACATCAGTTTGCAAGTTCAGATGCCCTCTCAACTAATATGAACCTATGGCGCAAACTCCAGAGTCCCGCCAAGGCTTCCGCAGAAAGACATAGCCGCAATTTCAAATCGGATGAGTGTGGATTCGCGCCATGCCAGGCAGCCACAGCCACCCAACCACCTTGAAGCCAGCTTCACACTTTGGGAGAACATATCACCATGCCGCCCTTTTGTACTGTAGTTGATCTCCGCTCAACCTTCTTCAAACCTTCATAAGGTCACATGTGCAGCCCTATTAGGTCGCATGCGCAGCCCCAACGCTTGCCCATTCAATCATGTTTTGCCCTTGTTCGAAGAGAAGATGCAGCAAATGCAATTTCACTGCAAAGGGCGTGCAGCAGAGTTCAACCTCTACAGCTAATCTTATGGAGTTCCAGTGGATACACAGTGTTCCTTGCAAAGTCTCTGATGCAGCTCAGCTATGGTAGCCGACTGGCCTGGACCCGTCTGGCAACTTGGGCTCATGTGAATATGTGCATGTAGACACCAGAAAAATGAGAATCTTGAAAACAGGGACCACCTCCGAAATGGTACCATCCTGAAGGGTCGACTACTTTTTGAGAATCCTTCCTCATAAGCAATGGTTCGGGCAGCCATGGTTTAGAAGCAGCTCCACAGAACTTGGTTAGCTTTACGCAAACCCGGGAACCCAACACCCGTACCATCCAATCCGGGGCCTTTTTGGAGCACGTGTTTTGGCGTGGGCTCGTGTGAGGCATTGGTGGGGGGCTTAATTCTGAAGAGGGTTTTCTCTGAAGATTGTCTAGTATATAGGGATTACTTAAGAAACTCTCCTGTTGAACAAGTTTCTCAAACTTATGGGCTCTTTTGTGGGCCTGTGTTGAGACATGGAGGTCGGCATGCATTGAGGTGGGATACAACTTTAGGCTTTTAGGGTCTTTGAGGGTGGTGGTTTCCTGAGGTTTCGCTTCAGGTTTCAGCGAGCATATGCCGGGGTTGACGACCCTGCCATCTCATGGTGTGTATGACTAGCATTGTTGTGTTTTTGTTTGTGTATGGGTGTATATATATATATGTATATATATATATACGTATAGATATCTATATATACACATGTATTTCAGATGTGTCAGCACATCTATAGCATACGCATATGCCCAAGCATACGCATATGCCCAAGCATAAAACCTTTCTGGAGTCGGTCGCAGCATGTCTGACTAGCAATATCTGAGGTGCTGCAGTGAGACAGAGATGCTTAAGACACGACAAGGCTTTAACTTGAACATCGAACGACAAGTATCCTTCCTAACTGCTCAGCCCTGAAAAGCTCGCATAGATCTGGCCAAAATTCAAGTTGTCGCCGTCTGGACATGGTGCACAGTCTTATCCCGGGGATGTCCTTGCAGCCATCACTTTGAACTGCTGGATGCACCCCTTGCCAGTGGCTACCGTTGAGACATGGTGGATCCAAAGCAGATTGCAGTGTAAGATCAGATGAAGCTCGATGTGCCCTAGGTTGGATGGAGGACATCTTACACCACTAAGGATCCACAAAATGATTCATTTCATGTATTTCTTAGCGCGCAGGATATATGAAGGTGAAAGGTTCCTCCACAAGCGGCACATCCCAGGCGAAGCTGCCCATCCTTGTTTATATTCTGTGGAAGCTGCCGCAGCTGCTGAGAAGATATTGGCCGCGAAGGTGCGTGGCAGAAGCAAGAGGATACGTAGTCGTGATGGTGGTCGTCGTCGTCGTCGTCGTCGTCGTCGTCGTAGGAGTAGTAGTAGTAGTAGTAGTAGTAGTAGTGATGACGCAGAAGTCCTGCTCATTTTGAGCGTGGAAGAGGTGGACCTTGTGCTATCCCGCTCCTGGATATATTCTTATTGTTCTTTTGCAAGCAAATGCTAACAGTCCAACGATTGCAACGAGACTTGATCGCGGTGGAAGGCTCACATCAAACTGGTCGGACCACTGCTTACGACTTTCTCATGGTGCCGATATTTGTAGCAACACTCCCCTTTGAGCACCGGTAGCACGGCCACGTGCAGAGAACGATTTCTTTCATGCATACCACAAAGAGCTCATTTTGAGGACTGTTTTTCAAACCCCAAGATCCTTTGCTGCTTTGTCATGTGGAGGCCAATAAAGTGGGACGAGAACCCTGCTTTCCTTAGCTGGTCAGCGGCAGCCCTGGCAGCTGCAATCCGAACCTAGACTTTTTTGTTGCTTTTGCTTCGTTAGGAACCGGGGAAGGGTCATATAGGGTTGTACTGGATCCATGTCCACATGGCCAACTAAGCTACAGCAAGTCTTGGCCACCGAACATTTAATTAGGTGTAGGGTCATAGAGAACAAGCTAATGTTGCCCTGGATAAGTTCATTCCCAGCGGATGCTATCCGCCTCGCGCACCTGGAGAGCAAGTTGCACCATCATCTAGGTATCTGCCAAAAGTAGAATCTCTATACTCCAGAGTAAAGGGATCCTCAACATGGAAACCTTTCACAAAGGAGCCAAGATTCTGGCACAGAACCATTTGCTGCTTCCAGCATCTTTTCCCAGTTGCAAGATCGAAACGCCATCAGCCTCAACCTGGGCGTGCTGTCAAGGGCTCTAGTTTTGAAGGCGGCCATGAGGAAAGTCGGCATTTTTCTGGACTCTCAATTAGATGTCCTTCAACTTTGAACCACTTTCCCATACATTCCTATACAATCCCGCGAGAGCTTTTCAGGGTGGAATCAGCCCCTTCACCGCGAAGTTTGTTCTTTACCTCTCTCTCCATCTCTCCTTCTCTTGCAATAAGCATCCTTCAATGAAAGTCGTCAGACTGCAACCTTCTGGCAGGAACGTCTTCGACCGGGTAGCTGTACCAAGGGCCTAAACCCTGTAAGGCCTAGACCCAACACGCCAAATTCCCACATCCCGCAACGTGAGGAAGACGAGAGCTGACTTCAACAGCTGTCGTCAAGGCCTTCATTCGGCGGATCAAGGAAGTTGATGTAACCCGTCGCCATTAGGACAGGATTAGAACGTTGCGTTGCTTCCCAGTCATGGGTGCTTTTGTGGGGATCCTTACTGGGGACCGCAGTTTAAGGGAGTAGAAAGGCTGACCCCGAAAGCCCTACCAGAAAAGCACACGCAGGCCCGACCCGAATGTTAGGGTCTAGGGGAGTGGGGTTTTAGGGCTTAGGAGGTTTAGGGGTTAGTACGGTTAGGGGCAATCTTGCGCGGAAGCCTCAACCCATACTCGCAATCGAACAACTCTCTAAACTACAGTTTCTTAATGTTTCCTACCTGGTTCAGCAAAGGTCCACCTCAATGCTCTGGTAGCAGAGCGCTTTGAAGCTGCGATTGCACAGGTGCTTGGTCCTGCGAGTTATCAATGATGGGGTATGTAGGGAGCAAGACCCAGGATCAAGGATCATGCTTCTGATGTTCTGGGCTTGATGTATGATAGTTGGGTCTGGGTTTGAAGCGTTTTGAGTGCAAGACGTAGAAGTTAAGGTGTATGGTTTAGGGACGATGTGTGCTGGCCTCAAGGCTAATCTGTTTGAGATGGAGAGATGTTACTGTCGGTGATGGATATTCAGAGAGTTCTGGATAAGCATTCTGTTTGAACGGCTGTGCGAGCGAGAAGGTGCCCATATCCAACATGACTGCTGTTGTCAGTTCTGTAAGCCTTCTTAGCCTTTGCAGAATGTCAGGTAGGTGTGCATTTTTGGGAATACGGACTAGAGGCGACTATTTGGGGAGACCATTATTCAAGACCTAGGGTCCTATGCTGACTGGTAATCATGCGGGAAGGCTTCTTGCCCAGAAAGCTGAGGCTGAGGCAGTGGACCAGCGGCTCCAGGCCAATGTGGCGGAGTCTCCAAGAAGGGTTGACCTAGACCTCCCAAATACCCACGATGATGCTTATGCGAAGTCAAACCAATGGGTACAAAGGCTGTGATTACGGGAGGTCTAGGGAAGGTTTAGGACGATTGTCGTCGGATCCGATCTTTTGCGCACTGTTTAGGCACAGCAGAGGGTTGAGGAGCCAAAGTTAGCGTGTCCCTGTGCGGTCTCCCCACTTGAGAGTTTTTGTTGCTGAGGCCGTACATAAGCTTAGGCAGGTACAGACTTCCTGTATTGATTTATGCTGACAGCTGGAAGGTAGCACTGTTGCCATCTTTGAGGTCTTGGCTTTGGCCAGGTTTTACAGCGGCACAAGGAACCTTGTGTCTTAATATTGAACTCGTTCTCTATACCCAAGTAGGATCCTGCCAAAACCACCCCTTAACACTCCTGATGCAAGAGACGCCAGGCCTTGCCAATTGGTCTTGTGGATTCGCAGCCGCCCTTTCTGGGCATCTTGCCAGGGATGAATGTTTTTTTTGCTAAATTATGCGACTTGCTTGTATTGAGGGTACATGCAGGAGCCTCATCTCGATAAATGCCCATATGCAGAAAGCTGAATGGCTAATCAGGAATTGAACGACGATTTGCCTAGTAGATAAGGGGGCCATGTCGCAATTTGCATCTACACTCTTCATGCTGCCGCAGGCCTCGCCACTCCCACCACCACTTACTGTTACTGCTCCTGATTGCTACTGCTATTGCTACTACTTCTGCCTCTGATGCTGCCTGTCTACTGCTACTGCGACTGCCTGTCTTCTGCCGCTGCCATGGCTACGA